TAGTGAGCGAACCGGCCGGTTTAACCGACGATTCGAGTCAGTTTTGGTTCGTGATTTTCGGTCTGAGTCTTGTTCTGAAGTTTAAGTAATTTTCCGAGCCAAACCAGATCAGTTAAACGCATCAATCTAATTTCCGGACTTTGAATTATTTTAGTGAACCCGTAAAGCGTTCCTATTTATCCGGATAAGTAATCTGATAGAGTAGAGCATCTTAGCATATTATTGAGCATATGACGAGCATAGTACTTAGTATATTTGTTTGCTTATATTTTTATGTAGCTTGAGGAGTCAGCTACCAGCACAACCGCACTTACCCATTTTCAAAGCAGATCAGGTGGGGACCCAGTCTGGGTTATACATTGAGTATAATAGTCGATATCACGTTCAGGTATGTATATGAGTTTTATCCGCTTGGGGTTAAGGCCAAGTTTGCCTTCCCTAAGTTCTGGTGGTGGCCCAGTTTGCCTTAAATATGCCATCAGAGTGTGCACACGGTACCGGCCAGAGTGTCCGGGAGTTACCGGCCAGAGTGTCCGAGAGATTACAGTTACCGGCCAGAGTGTCCGGGAGTTTCAGTTACTTATATATACCGGATCTGTGATATCATTATTATTATTGTTGTTTACTTTAGAATGGGTTTTCATGGAGTACAAGTGGACCGTAATTACCCCCACTTTATATTTTCAGATGGCAGGGTCGGCGGGTAGGCGTGAGTCGAGCTGTGGTGGTTGTGGTCGTGGAGATGGCACAGCGAGCCGTTCCAGGGACATTTGTTTAAAATGTTTTGTATAACTAATATTACCACGCATTTTCAGACTTTTTGCTATGCTTGCTTTTATTTCGAACTTGCATGACCGTACTTTCAGACTTAAAATTTTATCCAGTTTGCTAGTACGAACGGGACCAGTTTAAATGCAAGAGTCGATAAAAGATTTAAATCTGATTTTCTTAAAGTCTAAACCAGTTGATAGACCAAGTTAAGAAAACGGATTTTTAAAGCAAATAAGTTTTTAGTAGCATCCCGAGATAAGTTTGCAAATGATTGCGAAAAATTTATAAGCGTTTCGAAGGTAACATTTGCGAAAAATTGGCCCTAAGTAGCGGGGTGTTGCATTCTGACAAGTAAGACGAGTGCTCCCCAAGATGAGACGCTCGGTCGAAAGAAAGCGAGTTTTAACAATTCCTCGATCTACGTCTTCAGCTCCTGCAACTCCTTTGGTGACATCCTGCACGATGCCTTCTATACCGGTCCTCCTCCTGGAAGAAAGCGAGTTTTAACAATTTATCACGTGTTTTCCTCTATCTTGGTTTTTCTTGTGTTTTCTGTATGTTTTTTCGATTTTTCTTTGTTTATGGTGTGCAGGTCGAAAGCATTGGGAGAATTATTTTCCATGATAAGTGGGCCTGGAGTACATCATTAAATAGAGCATTTTGTTGGCAATACACAGAAAAAGACGGAATCAAATTCCGAGTCTGAACGAGAGTAAACGAGCCCGAGACACGAAGAAGGACGAGCTGCCCAGGCCCCGCGCGCGCGCACCGCGCCGCGCCACGCACCGCGAGGCCGACAGAGAGCCCAGACTTCATCCCCGCGTCATGTAGCAGTGTCGTGCCGCGGCCAGATCCTTCTCCGCGCCGTGAAGAAGTGTCGCGCCGCGGCAGACCCGTCCTCTGCGCCGTGAAGCAGCCCCGCGCCGCGGCAGATACACACCTCGCGCCGCGCCCGATCCTCCACACTGTGGCCTTATCTCTCCTATATATATTTGCATCGGGACATCGACAGAGGGAGAATCTCCCCTCCTGGGGACGAAAACCCTTGGCCCGAGACAAAACACGAAGCTCTCTTCCCCTTCTTTTCCTCTCATCTTCTCCATCGTTTTTCTTCCTTTCTTCACCCATATTTTACATTTTTCTTCTTCTTCTTCTTAGTTAGGGATTAAGATTGTAATTCGAATTCAACATTTGAACTTGGATTGATTGTAAGTATTTCTTTCCCTTGTTTAATTCATGAATAATGGTTGACTTGAGTAGAATGATTATGTTTGTTGAATTTGATTTACGTAGCTAAATCGGATTGCTAGGGATAGGGGATGATTGTTCTTGTTTAACTCGTATCTGTCAGGCTTGATTCGTTTGTTCTTATGCGAGTTAATTTGATTAGGAATTGATGAATTCTTGCTTGATAATTTGATATAACCTAAGAGTGACACTTAAGTTGATATAATCGAAGAGTGACACTTCGATTTTGCGATTGAATATTGATTTGTTGACTTAGGGTTTGTTGATCCTACATGATTAGTTGATTAAATACCTTCTAATTGTATTAGCGACTTTTAGCACCGAAAGGGGAGAAGTCGTAGATCTAGGCTCGCATGAGGTAGATAAATTCGTAATTGAATAGTCTATGGTTTTGGATTGAAATACACACTCGTCGATGACCCGTACCTTGTTACAAAAAGTTATTGGGATTGGAATAATTGGCTTGTGTTGTATGCTCGAGCTTGCTCGTCTATGTTCAATCCCTTGTTACGAAGAGTTACTGGGAGCGAACCGCTAGATGTTTAGGCGAGAGTGTCAATTCTGAACCGAACAATCAATTGTCTGGCTTTACGTTGCGAACTTGAATAAAGTATCCCCGATTCCCTAGCTTCTCCATCTTTGTTCCGTTCACATTTTTAGGTAGATTATTGCTTTTTATTATTTCTTAGTTAGTAATTATTCAATCCCTTTATCTGATTAGAGTGTGTAGGATTTATTTTCTTTTTATGTGTGATTGATACCAAAGCTGAATTTCGAACCGCCTTCCTCGTGAGATCGACCCGAAGTCGAGAGAGTCTTCTGATATAGTCCTGAACGGACTTGATATCGACCCATAGACTTAGGATGAGGCACTCTAAGACTAGGATGCAGATTCGTGATAAAGTGCGATGAAGACTGAGATGCGGTCTGATAAGAGATATTATACAAGGCCGGTTTTAATACCTGACCGGATTCTATGGACAACACGGAATATATTGGAGAATAAGCCACACATGGGCTAGGACATGTGGCATAATGACATTGGCTAAGCCCAACTTGGACACTAAGGTACACTCCCCCTATAAAAGGGGGGCTAAGGTATTACATTTGGACATTCTCTCATTCTCTATACATTGATTACTATTCTCTTGAGATTTGGAGTTTTGGAGTGATATTGACTTGAGCGTCAGAGGTCCGACGCCGGGACCCTTCCCGGCGTTGGGTTCTTGTAGGTACGGAGGAAGTTCGAGTGTAGGAGCCCGGGTGAAGACCATTTCACCAGGGTATGGGATCTTGTAGAGCCACCCAGTGACATTCACGTCATTAGATACAAGTGGGTCTATCAAAAGAAAGAGATGATCAGATGGGAAGTGTTGAGACCTTCAAGGATTATCGTTGCGAATGGGTACGTAGAAAGATTGAATCGATTATGAGGAAACTTTTTCGCCTGTAGTCATGCTTAAGTCCATTAGAATTCTCTTGCATGTGGCTGCTCATATAGATTATGAGATTTGGCAGATGAATGTCAATATTTATTTATTTATTTATTTATTTTTTCAACAATCCTGATAAGGACATATATATGCAGCAATCAGAGGATTTCATTGCAAATGGCTAAGAGCATCTGGTCTGTAAGCTTATCGGTCTATTTTATATATGTTAATAGCTTACATTAAACATCTAATTGTATCAAATATATTTTTACAAACCGCTAGTACAATCAATTGATCGAAACAGCTAACACTATCAGCTGATTAAAACAACTTACACAATTCTCTAATTGGTAACCGCTGATTGTCAATGAAGGCCCTTTTTTTCTGAATCACAAAAGCTTCAGGGAAGATCATTTCATTCAACATAAACTAATTAAGATGAACTTTAAATGGGGTGAATACATCATTTATGCAAGGATCATGCTATAATAGTTGATATAATACAAATGTGATAAAATTAAATGATTTAAAATATCGCATTATCTTTAAAATCAATTGCTTTTCAAATGAATTATCATCTATATATATATAATTACTAGCTAACAGAATTTAATAAAACCTATTTAATTTTACCTATGTGGCAATTTAACAATTTTCCCTCCAAAAATCGTTATATTTTGATGTATTTAATCTTTCATTTAATCATTAAATAATTAATACGCATCACTTCAAAATTACAAAAATTATTTTAAACTTTTGATTAATGACAGTTGACCATATAATGTGTTGACCGTATAATGTGATTAGATGTTATTATTGTTGTTACATTTAATTTTTTTTTTTGAAAATAAAAAATATATTTGAAATTCCCAAATAAATAATAAATAATTCACAAATAAAAGACGTACCAAAATATACATTACATCCAATCAGATAAACGCAATTTAAAAAAAAAAATATTCCAACTCTTTTAATTGTAAATTTGGTCTGCAAAAAAAGTGAAAGAAAAATAATTAATCATTATATGTACAGACTCACAATAATTTATTTATATCTGTGCATTTGCACAGGTTGAATACTAGTTATTCTTAAAACAAATTGTTTCCTCTGGTTAAATATTTTGAGAGGTACAGTATTGGGGTGAACAGTTTTGCTATGTAACTATCGGATGGCTCGATTTATGGAGCTATGTACACTTATTCACCAATAGTGTATTGACACGTGTCATAGAATTTTTGTTTTGGGGTGAAACACCAACACAGAGTTTATGAAACTGACAAAATTGAGACCCTTAGCGTGTACGCAAATACGAGTAATTGGCCTATTTATGTTATATCATATGCTATGTATGCACCAATACTATTTTTACTGTAACCCAATATACAACACAAAATTACTTTTGTTCTCTAGTGTGTGCGGGTAAATAAACAATTCTACTTTCTTTTTGAGTTGTGATGGTAACAAGTAATTGCCCGGTTCGACCCGACAACCCGCACAGTGTCTTTCGGCTCCACGCCCAAGTCTCCGTCTCTTTCTCTCTCTCACCCCTTTTAAAATGAGTGACTTCACAACTATACCTCATAAAAGGCGAGGGTTATTATAAGATAGAATGAAAGAAAGAAAAACAGGTGTTCTTCTTTTCATTTGTGCGCCTGCGTGAAGCTGAAAGCTTAAAGCTGAAAGAGAAAGAGAGACTTTCTTTTTCCTTTTGGTTCTTTTTGATTTTATATTAAGTCCTCGCTTTTTCTCCCCCATGATTAATTATAGTTGTATATTCAGTCGCCCCTCCTCATAAATTTATCTAAATTATTCAATTTTTTCATAAAGCCGAATTCAATCCACACACCCCTTTGTGCGAATTTTAATTTTAATTAAATTCCATCGATCTTTCCGCTAATGTTGAGCAACATCAATATCCCTTCTCCTTCTTCCGACAACGGCAAACGAAAACGCCGGCCGGCCGGAACTCCAGGTCCCTCCCATTCTCCGTCCACCGATTGAATTTAGTTTTACGAATTTAGATTTTAATTGAATTATTTTTGTGTGGAAATAACAGATCCGGACGCTGAGGTGGTGTCACTATCGCCGAAAACCCTACTCGAATCGGACCGTTACTTGTGCGAGATCTGCGGCCAGGGATTCCAGCGAGACCAAAACCTTCAGATGCACCGGCGGCGGCACAAGGTTCCGTGGAAGCTCCTGAAGCGGGAGACGGCGGTGGCCAGGAAGCGCGTGTATGTGTGCCCCGAGCCGAGTTGCCTCCACCACGACGCGCGCCACGCGCTGGGTGACCTCGTCGGGATAAAGAAGCACTTCCGGCGGAAGCACAGTAATCAGCGGCAGTGGGTTTGTGTAAAGTGCTCAAAGGGCTACGCCGTACAGTCAGACTATAAAGCCCACCTCAAGACCTGCGGCACCCGAGGCCACTCATGCGATTGCGGACGGGTTTTCTCGAGGTTCGTTTGATTGATTTTTAAGTAAATTATCCGAAATTAAAAAAATAAATAAATAAATTCAATTCCTTGGAGTTTCGTTTTCGTTAGGAATTAATTAGTNAAAAATAGAATAGACCTAAGACTAGGTTTCTTTTCTCTTTTCTTCCCACTCTTTTTGAAATTTGCCTGTTCTCTCTTTTCGAAAGACAGTTAAACAATAATTTGTTTCCCGGAGATCAATACAAGGGAGAACGTAATAATGTTGTTGTCTGTGTATTATGTCTTATGTGTATTCGTTTTACACATAGTACACCACACACATTTATGCATGGAAGCTACCTAGATATGCTATGAATTTTCTAAGCTAAGATGTATGTGATTCTACCCAAATCCCATTATTATAATTAAGATGGATTTTGTTCACTTCTATTGTCTAATACTAGTTTTGTCCGTGTTTTTTACATTCTATAAACTGTTGATTTTGGGCATGATAGACGCTACCTTGTATTTTATCTACTCATTCACCTCTTTCCAACAAAATGCGCTGTTCAAAAGTGTCCGCCCTTCAACTTTTCCACTGTTTGGAATAATTATTAACTTTTTATATTTCTTTTTGCTTTTTTTATTATGCCTTAAGATCGTCGTCATCATCATCATCATCATCAAAGTAGCAGCACTGTGTTATGTTTGATAGACAAATAAACTAGCTTATAAGCTTCTTTTATTTAAATAAGTTTCGTTCGGTAGGACGAGCTTATTTATAAAGCTCGAACTTATCTCATAAGCTTATTTAAGTAATTTTTGAAATAAGCTCGTTAATTTTTATTTCAGCTAGCTTATCATCTAATTTTACTAAACACTTTTATCGTAAAAGCTAGCATTTCAGCTATAAGTCATAAGTTATAAGTTATAAGCTCAAAAATTACTGATAAGTTATAAGCTACCTTATCCCCTAGATTTACCAAACGTAGCCTTAATCTTGCCCTACACATTGCCTATATTTAAGTTTTCAAAGTGAATTATTTTGTACGTTTCATAGTAATTATATTTTTTGTTTTAAATTCAGGGTGGAGAGTTTCATCGAGCACCAAGACGCCTGCAGCATGGGCCGATTCCGGTCAGAAACCCATGCACCACCCTCCGCCTGCCTCTCTCGGACGGCCTCCAGCCCCAGCCCATCCAGTGACACCAACCTCAGCGTAGGCCTGTGGCCCGGCCCGAATAAGAACCCGCCGCCCAATCTCGAGCTCGAGCTCCTAACCCGACCCACTTCTTCTCCTCTCGAAGTCCCACCAGGTGGGCCCGCATTGCTGGAGCAGGCCCGCCTGAGAGCGGCCGTGGCGGAGAGGGCCCAGGCGGAGGAGGCGAGGGCCCGGGCCAAGCGCCAGCTAGATTTGGCCGAGCAGGAATTCTCAAACGCAAAGAGGATAAGGATGCAGGCTCAGGCGGAACTCATGAAGGCTCAGGCGCTGAGGGACCACGCGGCTGATCGAATGAACTCGACTGTTTGGGAAATAACGTGCCATTTGTGTAGGCGGAAGTTTGAATCCGGTGTGGCGGGTCCACCGCAGGAAGTTGCGGCCTCGTCGTCGTCTTCGATTGGGTTGAGCTATATATCAGCTGCGCTAAGGGAATGGGAAGTCAGAAAAAGTGATTGAAAATTAATTAAAGAAGAGAATTGCCATAATTAAGGATAAATTGTAAAATATAGTCAGAATTTTGTATGCGGTGGCAATAATAGCCACCTTCTTTATGAATTAGCAATAATAGCCAACAAACCTTTAAAATTTCGAGGTTATTAACCAAATTCGACTAAATTACAAAATATTGCAAAAATCCTTTACGCGGTGGATATAATAACTATCGAATTTGGCCGGACTAAGGTAATAATCCCAAAATTTTAAAAGTTGTCAGGTATTAATGTCAATTCGTAAAAATAGTGGCTATTGTTGCCACCGCGTACAAGATATTGATTATATTTTGCAATAAACCCCATATAATTAATAACATCAAATGTTTGGTATGGGCATGAATGTGTTGCGTTTGGATGCCTAATTTGTGGTGATGTTGTAATGGAAGTTAATTTGTGATTGGATTTATTTTTTTTTTTATTTTTTCGGAAGGTTCATTTATTTGGTTGAGGTTTTATGGGGGTGAGCTGCAGCTGTAGGTGCCATAATGGGCTTCTTTTTTTTTTTCAGAAGACTTTTTCAGGAACAATTATAGTGAGGGTGTTGTATTTAAGGGTTTCGTTTCCCTTTTATGTTACATGTCTATTTCCATGGGGAAAAGATGTAAGGTTACTTGGTCATATATTTTATTCATTGGATTCGCATTAAATGTTTATCCATCTTTTGAAGACTTGATTGTTTTCCTTTTAACAAGACTTGATTGATTGTGCTTCTTCCAGGTTTTAAAATGGACAACTTTCGGTGAATTCTAAAGCTGGACCAGGATAAATAGTATCATGATTATATTGCTATCCTTTTTAACAGTACCAGACAAATGCATGTAGATTTGATCTTCCCTTACATATATATCTCAGTTTTCAACTTTTGTTGAAATTATGGTAATTTGTAATTTCACATATCAATTCTTGGTCATCAGAGTTAACCATATAATGAGTCTGGAATTTAATTTTATTCATACCTAAATTTTAAAATTATGAAAAAGTTGACTAATTTAAATTATAAAAATACTATAAACTCTACTATTTTTATTTATTATCAAATTTCATTTATAATATAACAAATTAACTCATTTCTTACTATCTTTAATTTGATGTCCTCATTGTAAAAAAAAAAAAGAAAATCAATTATACCTTAATAAACGATTCCTGCGAGTGTATATATTGGTTTGAATGAAAAATAATATTATAATTAATGTACAAAAATAAATAAAACAGATTCAAGTATAAATAAATATATTAATTAATACTATCACTACAACTAGCTAGTTGTATCTAATTAAGAAAGAAAAATGCAACGAGCCTAGTTTATTCATCAATTTTCTTGTTTCAATTTGTACGTATTATTTGATTGACGTCCATCATTAATTTTTATGTATTTTAATTCTTGTGCGACATAATGATGGGACATTGCAATTTCAATTTATTTTTTCAGCGGGACAATATAAAATTCCAAACCTGCTACATTACTACCAACAGATTAAGTTGAGATACAATTGTGATATTAATTTTAGTGTAGAATCATAAATTTTATCTTCATTAATGACACTCAATCACCATTTTTCTCATCATTTTAACTTTGAATTTTGCTAAACACAATGGTTAACATGTGAACAACATTTCAACTTTAACGTAGCAACAAAATACACTTATTTCTCTAGATTCTTGCAAGTAATAAGTGGAAATAAGACAAATGTACAAAAAGATGAAAAATCATGACCGTGTGTGTTTTATTTGTGTGTGTGTGAGAGAGAGAGAGAGTATGTGTTTGAATAAATAGATTATCTGAATATCTGGTATAGCTTTAACTTTTGGTGGTGTTGGATTTTAGTGTTTGGACTATTAGAAGATCTTTGTTGGCTGAGATGATCAGATAAAAGAAATATTGGACATGAAATGAAAGCTCCCCTTCCCCACCCTTTCTGTCCAAAACCCCCAGGCATTTAAGAACGCCACTGCCATCAAATTATTGCATTATTTATTATTTAATTTTATATATTTATATATTAAGAAAACACACACAAACGTAATAGAGGACTGGTAGATTCTATACACACAATAATGCTAAAATTAAAAGGGGGCGTCAGAGGAGAAAATGAGAGTCCTTAATGCGCAGCACAATTACAAATAATATGATATAAATATATAATATAACTAGTACGTTACCCGCGCGTTGCGCGGCTGAATATTAAAAATGATGTAAATGAATGATAATTTAATAGAAAAATATTTTAAAAAACATTTATTGACATAACGTAGGCTAAATTTTTTACTAATCCAGTAAATATACCTCCACAAATATAACATAAATATAGTATTAATAGTGGATGAGTTGTGGTCATTATCACCTACTGTAATAACAATAGACAACATGGATTCGTGACTATAGTAACATTAACAACGAATAATTGTTGTAACTAAAAAATACAATATATTTTTTTCTTAAAATTTTAAATATTAAATTCATAAGCTTACAAAAAAAAGTGATATATTATGAAAAAAATTATTTGTCACATTAATGACACTCCTTCATAACTTTTCATAAAAATGTCTACGTGATAACATAATTCTATAGGTACAAAAAAATAAAGTCATAATTACTATTCTACAAATAAAGTAATATATTAATAATTAAAGTTAACATGTATGAGTAAATTAAAATTTATAAATATAAATTAGATACTTAAGAAAAAATAAAAATGACTTCTATCCGCATGTATTTAAATTTAAATTAGGTCAACATATTTTTCACCTTTTTATTAATAAAATAAATATCAACATTTCAATTTTTTGCAAAATAAGTGCGATGGTAATTAGAGAATGACGTGGAAGATTGATCGTTTTTCGTAAAGTTATAAATAGACCGAGTAATTGCACAAATCAATGGGAATTACAATTCAATGTAATTTTTAGAAATGCACGTTGACAAATTTTTTTTAAAGTAATAAGAATAAGACATTTAAATTATATTATATAATATTAAAAAAACATTCTTGTGAAAGTAACATTGTGATAGATGATAAGGAAAAGTAATTAATGCATTATAATAAGTTCTATTTAACTTTATTTACTACAACATTCAGTTGCAATAATATGCTTTTATTAAGAAAAATTAAACGGTAACTGACACATTATGTTATTTTTATTTATAAACAGCATAATTGTGTATTTATTAAAAAAAAAATAAGGGAGGTCAATCACCAACTTTTACATAACCTCAAATTTAAGCTCAAATAAAATAAATGAAACAAATAATTATTGGATCAAAATATTCAATCAACAGGATCATAGTCAAAACTACATTATCACTTTCTTTTTGTTATCATTTTCTATTTCATATCACAATATTCTTATATTGCTTACCCATAAATGATACTAAATTTAGATGCTATGTCCGAACACTAAATCAATTACATTTATGTTGTATACAAACTATGAAATTAAATGTTCACCTCATTGTACAAAATACAAATTTATGTCTGTACTAATCAATTATTTTTATGTTGTACACAAACTATGAAAATAAATGTTCACCTCATTGTACAAAAAAAAAAAATATATGTTTATACATATTGAATTATTTTTTATTATATACTTTAAAGTTGTAATTTTTATTTTCATAATATTATATTAATAAAATAATCAAGATGATCACCGTCAATATTAGATCAATAGCTAAAACTTATTTTTCATGAAATTTAAGATAATTGTAATTAATTTATTATTTAGAAATACAAAATTATTTCCAAATATCAATAATAAAACATTTAATAATAATAATAATATATAAGTCTAAAACTAAAAATTAAAACTGACAACTCTGATAAATGATGAAGAAAAAATTGTTGTTGCATTCGTAGTAAGTTGTAGGACTTTATATGTCGCAATGTTTTGATAAAGATTATACATTATCGTCATTCTTAAGAAAACAATATACGATATACAAATAAAACATTAACAATGAAATTAACTTGTTATGCCTCAGAAATTATAGTTGTATACTTTTGGACCAATAAAAAAATTATGATGGCGAAAACTTTATGAGCGCATGTGTTTAAGTGGACTCTTCAATATTTTCATACATAAAATAAATTATACCAACTAAAATAATAAAATACCAAAAATAACATGAAACGATCTAATATATAGTTGAAAATTTGTTGAAGAAATGAACGACATATATGCATTTTTCTTTTCAGCCTTTATAATCAAATCCATGAGTTGTCTCTTTGAAATGATGTCATAACTCTTTTTTTGTACACTATCATTTGTGGATTTTATTTTCTTTTTACAATATCAGTTTTGAAATATTAGTCTATTGTTTATCTATAAAATACAGTCAATTTCATGATATTTTCGAATTTTAAGATGTCTTATTTTTCTTTTCTTTTGTTTTCATTGTTTTCATAGGCATGGTTTTAGTAAAAGAAACTTCAATCCATATAGTTCTTGAAGTTTCTTTTACCCAAGTAAAGTATATTCAACATTTTCGAGATTAATTTTATATGGATATGAAGAGTCATCCCCAAAAACTATAGATGATATTTAAAACAATATACATTTTTTAGTTGAATAAATTGTATTATTTATGATAAATATAACTTCATTATTTTTTATCTATCTCTATTTGTATTGCATTTGTTATTTTAAAAAATATATTATAAAATAAAATAAACAAAAATATGAAATTTAGAAGTCTAAGTTCGCATTTTTGTTAAAAAAGAATGATACGTTGACTTGACTAAACTTTACTCCAGCTCACATAAGAGTTTGTGAATGATAAGACCTTTTTACAATTTAAATTAAAAGATATTGTTTAGCAATGAGGTACTCTATACAAATAATTTAATGGTTACTTATAATTTCCTAGAATTACATAGAGGTTTTTTTTTTTTTTTTCCAAATTCCAAAACGATTAAAGAATCTATTAACTGAAAAGCGAGCAAAGCTCGAATACAAAGTTCAGACTGGAAATACAACTTGAGAGGTACATCTACAAGATGACCTAGAGCCTCGACACAAATACACCGAAAACAAAACAAAAACAAACTATTAGGAACATAAGATCACCACTGCTACAAAGCCTAGCAATCAAACAAGCCCTAATAACAAACATAGACAGACTAATAAAGAAAATAACCGAGCCAAATTATAAAAGAGCAGACTGTAAAGATGAAAACTCCCTCCAATCAAAAACAGCTGCTTTGACAACAATGTGT